TGACTAGATATGAACAACAAGAGATCAGAACAATTATAAGGCAAATACCCTGCACCCATGTAATCATTAAGAACTTTTAAATATAACGAGACAACGATTGCGACCAGGAACAAAGCTGTTACTGTTGTTTGGGTAAACGTGAAGCTTACTTTGCTGGTCCATAAATGTAATCAATTGTCTCCCGGGGTCTGCTAGAGACATCGAGTAACGCTTTTTTATTAGAGTCTATATCTGATAAATTGTAGAACGTTTCGCAATTCCATTGTCTTTTCTGGGCGAGGGAATAAACGTAGTCGCCTTGTTCCATTTAGAGTTCATAAATCTCGCTAGCGTTCAGAAGTCACACAGGTTTTTGCCGGTGAAAACAAAAGACTCTGACAGGCCTACACGGACTCCCCTCGTGAGTTGCGATAGCGATGCATTTTAGCCTTCAATTATATTTTCAACGAGCGTGTCTTTTAGAGATTTGCCTCTCTTATATGATATAATCGGAGGTTTAGTACAGATGCTTTTCAGCAACGGCTGGTTTTGTATTACAACCCAGTTATTCATTAAAATTTCTTTTAGGCCACCTACTGCCGGGTGATATGTCGTGACAAATGGCTAAATTTTCGTTTGAGTCTTTTTTCTTTGTTGGAGAGCCAACCTTCTGTCCTCGAAGCGGACTCCTGTTAGGGACCTCTCGATGAAGTTATTAGGATATTCGCGCGCTTTGAGGCGCAGTTTGAAGTTTGCGAGGCACTCTTCAAAAGTAGTTTGTGAAGAGTTTGTTCTTAGGAGTCTCGTCGCTTCGCCTTCGATAAAACCTCGTTTTACACCCGGAGGGTGGCAGGAGGTGAAATACGTGTATTGGAAGGTTTCTGTCGGCTTGTAGTGGGTCTTGATGTCGAGGATAGAGTCAGTTTGAAATCTATCCCCTTTGTATATTATTGCGTCAAGGAAAGTAATTTCGTTCTTTGAAATTTCAGCTGTAAATTTGATTGAAGGGTGGAACTGGTTAACTTGTTCAATGAACAAATTGATGTCTTGCTTGCTTTTATTCCATAGGAAGAAAACGTCATCGATGCAACGTTTCCATTCTATTGGCTTGATTCTGCTTTGGTAGATGAGTTTTGTTTCAAATTCTGCCTTGGTTCCTTATAAAAGTTTGTTGTTATATAAGCAAAGTATGGCTCTCTACTGAATAAATATTAAGTAAATAAATGAAAAACCAAAAACTTAAAAAGAATATATACTCAAAACAATATTAACCCTGTTCAGACTGGGCATTTCTTGTTTCCTGCGACCGGGTTAGGAGGGGGGGAAGGGGGACTCATGCACTTTTCGCCCGTTCCACCATTTACTATAAAATAGTGTTAAGATACTAGTAAATGAAAATCTCGCTAAAAGGTCAAGCCTTTTTGGCCCGTTCCACCATTTACTAGTAAATAGTGTCAAGATACTAGTAAATGAAAATCTCGCTAAAAGGTCAAACCATTTTGGCCCGTTTCACCATTTACTAGTAAATAGCGTCAAGATACTAGTAAACGAGAATCTCGCTAAAAGGTCAAGCCTTTTTGGACCGTTCCACAATTTACTAGTAAATAGTGTCAAGATACTAGTAAATGAAAATCTCGCTAAAAGGTCAAGCCTTTTTGGACCGTTCCACAATTTACTAGTAAATAGTGTCAAGATACTAGTAAATGAAAATCTCGCTAACAAGTCAAGCCTTTTTGGCCCGTTCCACAATTTACTAGTAAATAGTGTCAAGATACTAGTAAATGAAAATCTCGCTAAAAGGTCAAGCCTTTTTGGCCCGTTCCACCATTTACTAGTAAATAGTGTCAAGATACTAGTAAACGAGAATCTCGCTAAAAAGTCACGACTTTTTCGCCCATTCCACAATTTACTAGTAAATAGTATCAAGATACTAGTAAATGAAAATCTCGCTAACAAGTCAAGCCTTTTTCGCTCGTTCCACCATTTACTAGTAAAATGAAAATCTCGCTGAAAGGTCAATTCTTTTTCGCCCATTCCACGATTTACTATTAATTTGTGTCAAGATACTAGTAAACGAGAATCTCGCTAAAAAGTCACGACTTTTTCGCCAGTTCAACAATTTACTAGTAAATAGTGTCAAGATACTAGTAAATGAAAATCTCGCCAACAAGTCAAGCCGTTTTCGCCCATTCCACAATTTACTAGTATAATTTACTTATATACCATGAAATGAATTTCGCGAAAAGTCATATCTTTTGTGCCCATTTTTCCATTTATTAGTATACAGTAATATTAAGAAAATCAATGAAAAATATTTTTCACTGTTAAAGAATTTTGAAAATTTTTTTTTTTACTAGTACTAGTAAAGTTTTTTAAAAACTTTGTAAAAATATGAATTCCCAAGAAAATAGACTTTTACAGCAGTGAAGAGCAAATGACTCAAGCACTTGTTGTTCTGATAATTGAAATATTGAGACTGATGTGACTACAGCTCAGCCAAAATTTTTTTGCCTTGCCTCAATGGAAATAGGCATCTTACTGCGTTTGCGCTATTTATGTCTTATAATTTATTGGCACTCGTGTGTGAAAGCACATTAATTTATTTCTTTTTGAAACGGAACAGAGTCAGTGTATGCGTAGAGCATTTAGAATACTCTTGAATGTTTATTAGTCATATGGATAACTGAACACAGACATGAGGTCAAGGCGGCTGAGTGTGCAAGGCTTATTTTTTTCTTTAAATAAGGATTAAGCCCTTTTCTGTTGCACAGTGTGAACCAACCAATATGTCACTGTCTCGACTGAAAAAAAGATCGCTTAATAATTATTGTATGGTCAAGAAGTGTACGAAGCATTATAAATTTGTTCTTGACACCTCGTTAGAAAACGCGCAAAGAATTTAGGTTTAGATAAATATAGTATCTTAGTTGACGGCAGGTCCAATCTATATTTTTTCCGCGGATATTTTGTATGATTCTTGGCATTTAAGATTTCAAAATTAGGAATTGTTAGCTATGAGAATCCTCTGAGGCACCGAACGAATCAAGTTCTGCAAAGGCTCTTAGCTCTTAAAGGAGCCACGTCACGCCACTGTCCGCATCTTGAGATAATTAGCCTAAGTTTTTCATGGGCGTTATAATCATGCCCGGGGGGGGGGGACTCCGCATATCAAAGGGGTGGGAATGTTCGTCGGAAATTTTGAATTAAACCCCTAAAGGAGACCGATCTGGGCGTGGCCCAAGCTTTTTTTGACCCCTAAAAGAGACCATGTTAAAACACAGACAAATGGGAAAAATTGGATTATATGAATGAGTAAATAAAACGAATTAAAAATATACATATCAGATATATATTTTATATTTTTTCGCGCGCAACCCTAAACGAGACCTTCATGGCTAAAAATTTGCCCAGAACACCCTAAGTGAGACCCAAATCCGAAATTTACACCCCTAAGCGAGACGACGAGCATCCCCACCCCTCTCATATGCGAAGTCCCCCCTCCCCCGGGAATCCATGTCTATTCCCTCTTTCTTTGTTTCTTTGTTAATAATGATTAAATATCGTTACGGAGTTCCTAAAATGCAAGACGTACTTTTTTTTGAAATCTGAGAACTTCAATTTACATTTCTGGTTTGTAAATTTTAGGTTTTAGTCCATTTGTAAGTTCCAAAATCTGAGGGTAGTGTTGGCGTCCTAACAAATATCTGTCGGGTCGGCTTGAATGATATTCCCCATCTATCACTCTCCTTGGAATAAACTACTGTTCTTGTTTTAAAAACTAATAAAGCGTTTGTCGCGCCCTTCTCCAACATTGCTACTTCATTGTACAGTCTTTGTCACTTAGTTTAAACTCTTTGTTCCGGGGAGGGAAGTTTCTAAATATGGATAACTCAATTTTGATTTGAGCTACCAGCATTAAATATACCAAAAATGTCTAGTTTGGGATATATAACAAATATTCACCACTAACCACCGACACTTAAATGAATACAGTCGAATCCCAGTAACTCGAACCCTCTATAACTCGAACCTCCCGATAACTCGAACTTTTTTCTATTTCCCTTGAAGGTTCGAATTATCGGGAGTCAACTGTAATTTTTTAGAATAAACTAAACAAGAACGCTCTTAGAGCGGCGTCCAGTCTCGCTTGCTTGGAGATTGGATCGAGAAATGAGGAGGTATTAATTCTACACGAAACAGGATTTACTCGCTTAAAGTTTTTTTACTTCCTACTTTATCGTCGTCGATACTTTTTACTTGTTTCTGAATTGATTTAGTAGGCGTGTTGGCGAGAGAAATAACATCATTGCCAGAGATCAAAGAAGTGATTTACGTGGCAAGTCATTTCAATCATCGCCGAAAATAAACCGCATCCTCATCACAAGACCCATTTGCATACATTGAAAGTTTACAACACCCGACCATCGCAGATTTGCTAATTAAGATTCTTTTGTTTTTTCGACCACTCAGTAGTGTTCACAAGTTCCAAAGTAATCAATGCTTTGAAGCAATGGAATTCGTGGACCAACACGTTTCGGAAAAGCTCTAAATTTAATCTTTCCTAAGCTTTCTTCGCAAAACATGCGTGGCTTCGATTACGCAACGATTCCTATTCCCAGTTTCCACGGTCTCCGCAAGGAACGCCTGGCACAATGCCCCCTTTTGTGTCCTAAATACGAAGAAAAACGCATTTTAGATTATGAGTCTCGCTGCTTACGCAAGTGAGACCAAACGGTGAGATAATTGAGCCAAAATTGATCATTTTCTACTCATTAATTGTTGCCAACGATTACAATTTTGTCGCCGTCACGTTCTCTTGCCGATAAACATAAAAGCATTTCTCTAGCTGTTGCAGGGACATTTCTTCAAAAAGGCTTGTAAATTCTTTCTGCATTTGAAATCATTCTATAAAAAAACCCATTTCATTTAGTAAAACTATAAGTTCGTTACAAATAAGAATTTGAGAATGTGACAACAAAAACAATGGATTGTTATTGGTATAAGAGACTAGGTATCTTATATCAGTGAGCTTCGTCACGTCTACTTATTCCTAGAGGAGATGATGTGTTCCCTTTGTGTATTAGATGAGCCTCCCGAGCCTTTCTCACTGCGTCACGGTTGCTGCGTATGAGTTCAAGTGGGATTAGGGTGACGTCGTTTATTGAATGTCCAGCTTGATTAAAATGTAAGGAGACAGGAGTGGGATCGCTGAGTTGTTGGTGGTTCAAGGTGGATCGACAGTGTTCTCCAAATCGTTCATTTAGTTGGCGTTTGGTCTCTAAAATGTACTGGCATTTACATTTGTTGCATTGAATTAAGTAGAGAAGATTTTTAGATTTGCAGGATAAGTGGTCAATGATTTTTCTTTGTTCATTAGTTGCGGTAAAAATGTAATTTTTTTAACCTTCCTGGAGAAAAGGACGGGTGAGACAGCGTGGATGGTTGCATTTATAAACTCCGGAAGCTTGTTGTGTGAGAGGTGTGTTGTTGTGTAGCGTGGACTGTACCGAAGACTCAAGTCACTGACTCTATAAAGAACCATCGTGTAGATCTGGTTCCAGGTGTCAAACGCAGTGTAACCAACGCTGGGTTAGGAGGGTGAAGATGCTGGCAGCCCAGATTCTGACCAAAGCAGGTGCCATGTACGGTATGTTAGATATTCGTAGGCGCGAGAAATTCTATTAAAAGCCCGGTTCAACATCAAAAACACTGCAGTCATTTCCAAGCGCTCACAAAACTTTTAATTCCACTAGTTCCAGTCCCCCACACAGGGGTAGCTCCTGGCACTTACAAACAACAAACAAGTTCAGGTTAATTGCGTGTCCATGTATGTTGTCTATCTTAGTTCGCTCCAATAAAGGAGAGTGCTTAGAATACATATCCTAAACAACGTTCCGGTCGTGGTTGTGGCTGTTTTTCCATGTTTTGGAACTCTTGGATATAACAAAAGCAGCTCCTTGTCGAGTGACAGTTATAAAGGACGATTGGTCTCAGCTATACAGCCACCAATTGTGTTGGAGATTTCACTGACATCTTGATGCGTGATCTAAGTCTTCTTCAGGCTAATGTTGAAGCCAAAGTTTTAGCAGGCCCTTTTTTGCGTTAGATAAAACTCTTCTATGAAGGACAGAATTGGGAATTGGGATGTTGACAACTGCGGCGTCAATGATCATGAACACCAGTACAACTCTCCTTTAAATCTCAGTTTGTCACAACAAGAAAACTCACAAACCTTGGGTGCGGCTCGCTTCAAACCAAGCGCTCGGTTTATTCACGAAAAGACTAAAAGGTACATGACATATAGAAACGTAATATACAATCCAAGTAACATACAGCTCCAAAGAACTAGATCACAAGCTAATTGAAATGGGGTCTGGAACAACAGCTGGGTGAAAAACCTCCCCGTACGTCCGCTTGCACCTAGGAGGAAAACCCCAGGCCAGCTGTACCCCATAAAAAAAACGGTCCCCCGGGCAAGATCAACTAAATAGAAACTAGAATCAATTAAAAGCGGTACGAACGGGAAAACTAAATACCTAAAGCCTTAGAAACCGACAAAAGAGAAGATTAAGAATCTTGGACATACCCGTCCTTAGCCGATTCACTACCCCAGCGGCCATGACGCTTAAAAAGACTGTCTGGTACGCGAGCATTTGCGGCAGCAGTAGCCCGCCACTCCTAAGGCTATGCGTACCAATGGCAGAAATATTAGGTACAATATCTCTAAAGGCCTCAAGCATCAACTCTCTTAACCGTGAATAGCTTAAACCTTTAGATCTAAGCCTATAACTACATTTAGTTTTGGAAAGCTGGCAAAACAAAGGGCTATCACAGGAAAGCCCAGCTCTATCTAAATAACGGTTCATCATAGCAACCGGACAAGTTGCTTTCCTAGAAGAAGCTACAACAATCCAAGCTCCATCCCTATACTGATCAGTTTTACTAGATTGAATAAATAACTTTAACATGTCATTTTCGATCTTAACATCGGATCGAACAAGCTTAGCAAGCTCATCAAATCTGAGAAAGGCAGCAAAAGCTAGTAAGCAAATAACAACCGAACGAATATTATACAGAGAGGCGATTGAGATCGCCTTGGAGGCAACTAACTGCCCGGCAAGAGTACTCTTCACCAACGGATGATCAGAAGGAGGAGCTGGTGAAACCAGGCAATGCTGTGAACTGCTGACTCCTGGGAAGATGCTGTCTTCGCCTCAGTCATTAAATGACGCAAATATATAGCAAAGTGAAACGGAGAAGCGGGAAAAACTGTCAAGCCATGTTCTCGTGCCCAAGACCTTCATCTGTTGTAAGAGGAAAAATACTTGGAGGAAGTACTGGGTGCTCTGCTAGCCAACGCAACATCCGGAAGAGAACTTGCAAGGGACTGTAAAACACTGGATCCCTGGGGAACCGCAGCCCGAAGATCCGACCACATAGTAGAACTGAAAACATCTACAAAATAAAAGCAAAAAGAACACACACACACTAAAAAGTCACAAACAAACAAAAATGACCCAAACGCTGGAACATGAGACCGGGATGAAAGACAAAACCAGCATGCTCAAATATATACCCCTACTAATTACCCACATACTAGCGCACACGCCTAAACAAACATAAGATACCGATGAGAGCATATTTTCCTGCTAATTACCAAGCCAAACGCAGGAAAATACTAATCTCACTTGTACTATAACAGTAGGCCCAGAACTGGTTCTGCTTATCAAGGTTGTCGATTACTATTCGCGTCTTTCCTGTTGGGGCAGGTTGGATGCTTTTTGGATGCGCTCTGCCAATAGTTGTTCGCGAGTCTTAAGGCAGTCCTTCGGACAAGCACCCTTGCTGGGCAAGGTCCTGACTGAGATGTTTTTCTCAGATTCGATTCGGGCAATTTAGGTGTTAGTAGGCAGGATTCAGTTCTTCTGTCTCTCTGTAACTACTGCTCCCCTTTGACCAAATACTTAATTTTTAGCCGCACAATTCTTCAAAACCCAAAGAACAAGATCTCAGTGCCATTTATGGTTGTGTGGTGAAGTATTTTGAAGGTTATTTTAAGTTTATTTCGTGTTTGTGCTTGACGTCTCACTCGTGACTAGAGTCTTGTTATGATCAGTTTATAGGTCAAGGTTAATCCGTATTTGTGTCGACAGATTTTCAAATTCTATTACCTCTTAAAGTAGTTTTCCAACATGAATGTCATTCATTAAATTTGATTGTCAGTCCTTGAAGTGGGCACGTTTTGGAACCGTCGCTGACCTTGATTGATACCTACATCAGAGTTCCTGTTTTGGTTTAAGGTAGAGCCTCGTGGGTTTAGCTGTCACTCTTTTATTGGTTTTCTTACGGTTTTGTTTATTCCACTTGGGTTATTCGTTTAAGTCACTCGGAAAAGCGTTTGCAACTCTCATGGTCAGTAAGCCTAAACGTACCTACGTTTTACTTATATAAGTTGCCAGTGTTTAGCACAAGGGAGAGAGTGGTTGAAATTAGTTACAGTTAAATGTCTAGGAGAATTCGTTAAGTGATGCTGTAAACAAGACATATGAGCTGCTGTAAAGATTAAAGAACACCAAGATGTAAACTCAGATACCTGGTATCTCTACTCTCAGAGAGCGATTTGCTCGTAAACCCCTACAGTTGTAAAAGAACACCTAACCACAACAACGAACCAACACGAACCATCTCAGCAAACAAGCCTATTAGCCGTAAATAAAGAGAATTTCAAGATTACCCAACCACCCCACCAAACACGTCAGCGGTGAAGGGTCTCGACACAACTGACGAGGTTCTTAAGCATTACCCTGAGGTACTCCAACGATAATTGGGACGGTGTTCATTCAGAGATTGATGAAAATATAGCACCACTGTTGCACCTCGTAGACTTGTACCAGCTTTTCTCAGGGCCAACTAAAACAGGAACTTGAACACCTTCAGAACTAGAAATTCATAATTCAACGCACTCAAGTAACGTGTTCTGTTCGTGGTATGGGTTTCCGGGGTGTTATAAATGTAATTCTTCGAAAACAAATTGGGATGTCCTGGAGCTTTCCTCTATTCCAGCCCCCCCCCCCCCCCCCCCCCTCCCCCCCCCCCCCCACCCAACAACTAGAAGATGTTCACGCGCCATTTGTTTTTCAAATTCTTCTTATTTGTTTTAATGACATTGATTGCATCGAATATTACCTTTTCCAAAAAAAAAAAAAAAAATTGGAAAAAAAAATGTTACCCTCGACCCTCGACATGGTACCCTCGCCCTCGTCATGGAACCCTCGACCCTCGACAAAAAGATAGACTCCCTGGAAGCGCCCCCTACTTGTGATTTGTCACGTATTGACGATTGACGTTATCGGAGTGGCTGAGAAAAAAAGTTGGGCGGAATACAAAAACACCGGCTCTCAAAGCAGGCGCTCCCTTCCCTTTTCCCCTCTTTCGCGCTTTTCTTCCTCCCCCTCGCCTTCCCTTTTTGCGCCTGCCACGCAGGCTAAGTGTTGAGAACCTAATGAGTGTTTTGCCCCTGACAAGTGTTGTGACTCTGAGGAGTGCTGACGAGTGTTGAGACTCTGACGAGTTTGGTGACTTCGACCAGTATTGTGACTATGACGAGTATTGGGACTCTGAGATGTGTTGTGACTCTGACGAGTGTTGTGGCTGTGACAAGTGTTACGACTTTGACGAGTTTTCTGACTCTGACAAGTGTTGTGAGTATGAGGAGAGTTACGACTGACAAGTGTGGTGACTCTTATGAGCGTTCTGACCCTGACGAGTGTTCTTACTCTAACGAGTGTTGTGACTGATGAGTGTGGTGACCTTGACCTTGCGACTCCGAGGAATGCGTTGACTCTGACGTGTGTTGTGATTCCGACGAGTGTACTAGCTCTGACGAGTGTTGTAACCCTAACGAGTGTTGTGACTCTGATGAGTGTTGTGACTTTGACGAGTGTTGTCACTGTGAGGAGTGTTGTGACGCTGACGAGTTTTGTGACTGTGCTGATTGCTGTAAATCGGACGAGTGTTGTGGTTCTGAGGAGTATTCTCTGACTGTGACGAGTGTTTTGAGCCTGACGAGTGGTATGATTCTGAGGAGTTTGAGACTATGACGACGGCATCCTCGGAGCCCCAGGGGTAGATAGTGGGGACAAGGGAAAGTCTAAACGGGCGGTAAAAAATGGCGCGAAGAACACTATCTGTCCCCGGGTCCCCGAGGAGGTGACGACTGTTGCAGTGTTATGACGACTGTGGTGACTGACAAGTGCATACATACATTACTTAACTTACAAAACGTGACGTTTTCCAGGTCCATATTTAGATTGTTGATTACTTTAGATACAATAGATGAGGGAAGCGAAAGATACAGTTTAGAATGATCTAG